GCAGCAGGAGCAAAAGCATAGAGGTGTAATGGGCAACTGCAACAAGTGGGGGACCAAGTGGGAGCTGAAGCTGGGAAGGAACCTTTATGCATACGTGACTATTACAAATGCCATGAAAACAAGATTGTTTTCGTTAACTGGTTGAAAAAATTCCTTCATCATCAAAATTAAGTTCTCTATCTTCTCAGAGATGACAAAATCAGCAAAGTGAAGTAGAACTTATCAGGTGCTGCTATCGGCTAAACGAGGGAGACTTCCAGCAGACCCCTTGCTTATCACAGGTTCCCATCCCTGCTCTACCCAACCTCTGAGAGAGTTCTGAGATGTGCTTCAGGAAAACATCACCCACCTACCAGCTGACCAAGAACTATAACAAGAAAACATCAAGATGTACCATAGGCCAGAACTTTTTATTCTGTCCAAGATGATAGGATGGACTTGGGTGGTTCAAAAAATGTACACCCTCTGTTCGGTCCAAAAAGGTGTCTCAAATGTCATCCTATATCATCGTAACTTGGGACATGTCTATATTTTCTTCATAACTTCTCAGGGGCTCATTCAATAAATAAGTGGCTATCAGTTTTGTATAGGGTCCCTGCCAGCTCCTATGTGAGGGGAAAGATCAGCTTGGGCCTTCTACATCTAACCCAAATTCCAAGCAATGGGAGCCAAATCTTCCAGCGAGGCACCGTGGCCAACCCTGCTTCCAACTGTGGAGCCAGACAGTCTGGATTTGACTCCCGAATCCATCATATTTACAAGTTATTCAGACCCCCTTTGTCTTAGTTTCCTCATGTATGAAATGGGGATAATGACAAAGCCTACCACATAGGGGTGTTATGAGGACTAAGCCAAGTTAGTACATGTAATAAAAGTTAGCATAGTACCTGGCGGGTAGTAAGGACTCAAGCAGTGTTTGTTATTCCTACCATTTGCTGTGTGTCATACTTCATTTCAAGATTAACAGTCAGGGGCGCCTGGCTGGCTCAGTTAGTAGAGCATTCAACCCTTGATCTGAGGGGTTGTGAGTTCGAGCCCCACACTGAGTAGGGCCTGCTTAAAAAACTTAATAATCATACTCCTGGCTGGTAAAAAGATGCCAATGCCATGTAAAATATATCACGATATACTGTAACTTGAGTTTAAAAGCAAGTTACAGTGTCTCCTCTCTCTCTCTCAGAGGATAAGGGTATATGCAGATGGCAGAGATTATTTCTGAGTGGTTTTTATTTTCTCCTTTATGTTTAAATCTATCTTACAAATTTAACATGGGCGTATAAGCGAAAAAAAAAGTTATTTAAAAATATTAAACAACATCAGTGAGAAAGACTTTAAGGATCCTATTTATCACTCTTTTCTAGGCTAGAATCTAAGCTTCACGATGGGAGAGGCAATGGCATCTCAGAGCCCATATCTGTTTCAGGCTGGCCCAAAGCCAAAGCAAGAACTGGGTCAAGCTCAATTCCCATCCCGAGCCCTTCTTTCGATTCCTCCTGCTTCCCTTTTCAGATGCCAATCAAGGGGGCTGATCGTTTCCTTCATTCCACTAACATGTATTGAGAGCCCACAGGGGCCCAGCCCTGTACAAGGTGCTAAAGATAAAGAAGACTCTGCCCTTGGTGGCCTGTGATCTCATCCTACCCCTGCTGACCATCAGTTGCCATGGCCTGTAGCCCAAAGACAGCGCTCTCTGCAATCTTAGCTCTTCCCCACTCCTGCCGACCTCCTGCTTCTGCCCCACCTTGCTACAGATGACATAATCCCTACGTATCAGTCCTGATGTGTGTGCATCAGTCGAGTTCTGGCAGAAAACAGCATTGCACTCAAAAGGGCTTACCCAATAACTGAATAAAGGGACTACTCGTAGAGCTGTGGGCAAGGTTCAGGGAACAAAGCAGGCGTGCCAATGTCCTCAAGGACGAGGACCAGCAGGAAGCCATGACTACCCACAGTCCTGGAGGGGAAATAGTATTATTGGAGCCTATTGAAGATACAGTGATTATCTGTAATCACAGAGCAACACAATTGCTAGTTCCTGGCATTGAAGTAGTGAGAGAATGAGGAATAAATGCCCTGCTCTGTCATCTCCTGCCAGTGCCCATTCGGCTGAATCCACAAGCCAGAGAGCAAGGATGCCCAAGGCATACAGTCCACCTGGCAATGTGTTACTATCCGTAGTAACAGTTTCATGGTAGATCCAAGTGAAAAATGGCATCAGTTTCTGGTCTGGGTGAACTAATGGGGCAGATATTTTAAGGCAGACCTCCTCAGACCAGTTGTTCTAAGTAATTAATTCTCCAAATCCCTGCTCCTGTGGGTACTGGGAAAACGCTCATCAAAAGGCTAAATCAACGCATTGAAGCTTCGTAGTTTTGCTTTTTTCTTTCACATTTTATTCTGACTATATTGGAAGTAGATCTGAAGGGTGAGGGGTGCTCTGTTGATTTGAGTACCTAGGCTGTCTCTAGTGCGCCTTTGTTTTTAATGTTCATCGTAGACAGATGATGACCAGAAGTACACAAAGATGCCAACAGGTAAGCCGGGCCTGGCCACAAACACACGCGCACCATTCTAAAGATGTCTCTTCCCCACACCTCAACTGTGGTGACTTTCAGCAGCAACACCCTCCCCCCCCCGCCAGCCAAGGGGCACGAGGCAGAAGGTGGGAGACCAGAGGAAGGGAGAACTGGAAAGGAAAAGATGATGGGGCTCCCAGCTCCAGCTGGGTGGGAGAGGATGAGGGAGGTGACCAGGACCGGTTTTCCTCCTCTCCAGGTCCCCCGCGTCTTCCTCCCTTACACCCATAAGCAGCGTAGCTGGGTCCTGGTTCACAGTTCTGATTCTTCCCCTGGACTGCTTCCTTTGCAGTCACTTCCTTACCTCAGAAGGAAACTTCCTTGTCAGCTCAGTAATGACAGTGGCTCCTTCAGTTTGTGTACCCTTTAGAGTCTGAAGAGTACTTCCACACACATTATCTCATTTACTCCTCACACCCCTTGTCAGGTCATAGAACTTTACCTTCTAGTGGTTGAGGAAACCGAGTCTCGGGGAACACGTTGCCTAAACGCACTGAGTAGGCAGTGTCAGAGTTTCTCTGTCTCTCAGCCACTGTTCCCCCCCACAATGATGAAAGGTTTCTTCAAGAAAGAAGATAGCAAAGGACTTAAAGGTGGACTGAGGTCATTATAAAGGAGGAAACCATGCGTACTGAAGATAAAATGAACCAGGGCAATGACTCTCAAAGTGTTGTCTCCAGACCAGTGGCATTGGTAGCATCTGGGAATGTCTTAGAGGTGCAGATAATTGAGCCTCAGCCCAGACCTACTGAATCAGAAACATCAGAGGAAAGGGGAGGTTTGGGAACCTAGGTTTGAACAAACCCACCAGGAGATGCTGATGCATGCCAAAGTTTGGGAACCACTGCCTCCAGGGGAGAGGAGGTGGGTGTGGTGGTAGCCTGAAGAGAACACACGGCTCGTGTTAGCATAAGGAGCAGCTGGGAAGGTAGTCACTGATTTCTGTGGATTCTAGAGATGGTGCTGATGGGTGAATGCAGACCGTTCAAGGCCATTGAAGCCTTGTTTGTAATAGCAGGAGACTAGGAACAACCCAAATATCCACCAATAGAGGATGGTCACATGAATTATGGTGCATCCATGTACTGGAACACTACACAGTGTAAAGCAGAATAAGAGGCTTGAGATATTTAGATATGGAAAAAATCCAAAGTATATTTAAATAAAAGAAGAAAAAGCAGGAGAGTTTATATAATATGTTAACTTTGATTTAAAAAAGGGGAGAACTAAGAACATATATTTGTATTTCCTTATACCTACAAGAAACTCCGGACAGAGACAAGAAATCATTCAGAGAGGAACCTGTGGATGGGAGCATGGGAAAGATGGAAACATATAGGATGTCAACTTTTCACTGCATTTCCTTTTCTAAAATTGTCCAACCCTGTAAATAGATTACCTATTCAGAAAAAATAAAAAATAAATAAAAACGGCCATTGGTGTAATTCAGCAAGGGAAGAACAAGAGGCTGCCTCCTATGGGACAAGGATGGTGGGCATTTCCAAGGGCAGAATGAGCCAATAGAGATCAAGGGTACCAAGTTCTGCCCACACCCACTGCCTCTCCCCTCCAGCTCAAACTCTCCCAGAATGGCCAAAACGCTTTGGGGGAGTTTAGACTTCTTAATAAGGCCAGGACCAGCAGTTTTCGGCCTCAGCTACACATTAAAATCATCCGGGAAGGAAAACCTGGGTGGCTCAGTCGGTTAAGCGTCTGCCTTCAGCTCAGGTCATGATCCCAGGGTCCTGGGATCGAGTCCCGCATCGGGCTCCCTGCTCAGCGGGAAGCCTGCTTCTCCCTCTACCTGCCGCTCCCCCTCCTTGTGCGCTCTTTCTCTCTCTCTGACAAATAAATGAATAAAATCTTTAAAATTAATAAAATAAAATAAAATCATCTGGGAAGTTTTTGGGCACGCGGGTGGCTCAGTTGGTTAAACATCTGCCTTTGGCTCAGGTTATGATCCCAGGATCCTGGGATCGAGTCCCACAGCAGGCTCCCTGCTTGTCGGGGAGCCTGCTTCTCCATCTCCCCCGACCCCCGGCTCATGCTCTCTCTCTCTCGCTACCTCTCTCAAATAAATAAATAAAAATCTTTAAAAAAATAAATAATAAAATCATCTGGGAAGCTTTTAAAATACCAATTGCCAGGCCCCATTCCCAGAGCACCCAAATCCAAATCTCTGAGGAGGGGCCTAGGCATTGGTATTTTTAAAGTTCCTCAGTTATGATTCTAAACCACAGTCTTGGACCTTCTGGGTCAGCTCATTTATCCAGAAAGCTGAAGAGAGGAAGAGAGAGTATCCAATAGCTTAAAAGAAGAAATAACACATCCCATCGAACCTGTCATGATCAAATCTGACTGCAAAAATTTTTTTATCTGTCTTGATTGGAATCTGTGATGAACCTGTTTCTCCCCCCTTGGCAGCCCAATTCTGAAGCGAAGCCCTGATATCACCAAATCGCCACTGACCAAGTCAGAGCAGCTTCTGAGGATAGACGACCATGATTTCAGCATGAGGCCCGGCTTCGGAGGTATGAGACATGCGCTCATGGTGGGGTCTGTCCACCTGTCCACGGGTAGAAGTCAAACCAAGGGACCACCCTGCTTTGCTCTCCCCCAATCAGGTCTGCCTCCATTGTGCTCGGGGGCCAAGACGGAGCCCACAGCATCTTCTGAGCATCACCGCTGCCCAGCCCCACCGTGGGCTCTGCTAAGCACATTCCCAGTCTAGCTAGCTGAGCTGTCCTCCGGCTGCTGCTCTGTCAGGAAGGCTGGGGACCGGTGAGGCCAGCTGGCTGTGGGCCAGGCCAGGGGAAGACCAGGCAGCTGCAGCCCAAAGCTGCCTCCTGAAAATGCTCAGAAATAACAATCTTTGACTAAATTCGTGTTCATCTGGGAGCGGGCAGATGGGACTGTGGGTGTCAATCCAAGGGCAGAGTGTGGTCTGCTGGATTTAATTAAATGAAAATAGGTTGAGAAAATAATGATCTAGTGCAGAGGGCTGTCACAGCCCTTTGAAGCTTAGCCTGCAGCTGGTGGATTTCAACCCCTTCAGTGTCAAATAGGGTTTTCATCCATATAGGTTTCTTCCTGGAATAAAATATTTATTTTAGAAATCGTTCTCATTTTTTTATTTCTCCCAGCCACCTTCACCCAAAGAATAAACAGGTTCTACAAGGGGGTCTCTATCCAATCCATAACCTGCCACTGTTGGATCTAAACCTACCTCCATCCATGATAATCCAAGTGTGCTCCAAGCCTGCCCTAATCCAGGGAGGGAAAGGGGCAGCAATCTATTCCCTTTATATGCTTTCCTTCTCTTGATAAATATTACGTTTTCATGGCCTAGAAATGCCAAAAAAAAAAAAAAAAAATTCTAATGTTCCAAGGCCACCCTGGTGCATCATGTCCACCTTGGAAGCGACTCCATCATGTGGCAAAGATGCAGATCTGTGGGCTTGGCAAACGACCTGAATGTGGCTTTGGTTCTGGGTGCTTATTTACCAAGCAGTGCCTTTCTCATGGCCAGACAGAGACATTGGCTTCCATGACAAAATCAGGAGGCAAATATAAAGAATAAAGTAGACGACTTCATTCTAGGGAGTAACTCCTTAGATTAGACCCAGCTTTGAGCTAGGTCTTCACTGTACCTTTCAATGAGCATGTGTAACCAAAGAAGAAAGCTTCATAGGAACCTCATCGTTTCAGAATCATCTGAATGATTCAGACAAAAGCTTAAAAAAAACCAAAAAAACAATAGCAACCTTTGTTGGAATATTCCAGGGAGCCAGCCCATGATTCAACCCTTTGATTTCTGGCTTCACTTCAGCTTGACATGTGGGGATGCCAAACCTTCAAATCTGGCAGGAAGCTGAGGAAACGGGTTCCAGGGGGAATGCTCCTCATGCCTGTAGTAAAAATTCAAGTAAAAAGAATAAATGTTCTTGCCACGCCCCACTTGCAGGTCCGGCCATTCCTGTCGGTGTGGATGTACAGGTGGAGAGCTTGGACAGTATCTCAGAGGTCGACATGGTAAGCGCTTCTGTTGCTGGGGCTGTGGGCAGGTGGATTCACGCGGGGCCTGTGTTGGGCCAGGATGTCCACACAGCTGGTTCACTAGGTCTCACAACTCCCCGGGCCGTGGTAATGCCCATACTCATTTTATAGGTGGCTCAGGAAGGTTAAGACACTTGCCAAAAGCCACCCAACTGGTATGAGACAGAGCTGGATGGCAAAGTTGATCTCCCTCCAGTGCCTAGGCTCTTGCCACGGGCATGTGCTCTCTAGGCAAAGGCTCTCCAACAGAAACAGTAGGGTCCAAAGTTGCAGCTGTCAATGACCAGATGTTCTACAGCTGGAGATCCTGTATCTGGCTGTGGAAATGCCGAACTGCTGAAAGGGGTCCTTTTTTTCCCTTTTCAGTGGGTTTAGGTGGGAAAATGGAAAGTTCTACAACTCCTCAACTTACAGGACTTGTTTACAGCCTTATCTTAGTTTGGGTTCTCCAAAAAGCAGACTTGAGAGAAACATTCTAGCACAAGAAGTTTATTTGGGAGGTGATCCCTGGAAACATGAGAAGAGTGGGGGGACGTGAGACAGGGTTGGGGAGAAAGTGAAAAGGCCTGTGCCTTCAAACCAGTTACTACTGTGAATCTCAGTCCCATTGGGGGAACTCCGAGAGTCAGCGAAGAACACACTCCGGGTTATCCCAGCTGAGGGGCCAAGGAGCTGCGGTGATTATCTAGCCCTTCCCACCCACCCCGTCCCCCCAGCACGTTGAGGTTCAGCAGTGCTGGCAGCAGCACCTGGTCAGTGTGGGGGCAAATGCCGGGGGATGGGCCGCGGAAACAGGGTTCTGCTAGAAGTCTCTGGCTGAGTCCCTCCCCTGCAGTCCTCCTCCTATTGCAGCAAACCCCAGGGACCATGTGAAGACCTCGACTCTGCGGTTTCATTCCCAGCCAGGTGATGGCTCCACGGGGCGCCCCGCGTCCTGCAGACACCCAGTAGGTTCAGTGTGTGGGGTTCCCTTCTCTCGCCCTCCCCTCCAGGACTTCACGATGACCCTTTACCTGAGGCACTACTGGAAGGACGAGAGGCTGTCCTTCCCGAGCACCAACAACCTCAGCATGACGTTTGACGGCCGGCTAGTGAAGAAGATCTGGGTCCCTGACATGTTTTTCGTGCACTCCAAGCGCTCCTTCATCCACGACACCACCACGGACAACGTCATGCTGCGGGTCCAGCCTGACGGGAAGGTGCTCTACAGCCTCCGGTGAGGCCCTGGCAGCCCCCCTGCGCCTGCACTCTGCCTCTTAACCTGGAGGTCCTCCGACTCCTGAAGCAGGGGCGGAAAGGCAGATCATTAACCACAACTGCAGTTTTGCTTTTTGGCTTTCAATAGCCAGCTTCTAACCTCCCAGGAGGCGCCACCTTTTCAACGTTAAGGGAGACCAATTTTACACACGAGAAAAAATTGTAAGGAATTATTTAGTCTCAAAAACACATTTGTGGGAAGTTCTCCAGCTGATACTTATGATTTAGGCCTTATCCTGTAGGTTATATTTTAATTTAAAAACTTTAATCCAAGTTTTATTTGGTTTTCTTTGTGTAGACTCTAGTGGGATTCAGCGAAATAGATAATGTATTCTTCTGAAAGACTTGCCTCCTTAGATGTCTCAATTCCCATCTTTCAGGTATATTTTAGAACTTGGGCTAAAAGAAATTCTCTTAGCTGACCTGACCAGCCACAGGCATGTTTGGTATCCTTTCTCACCACAGTGTCCTACCGAAAAACTGGAAATCCCGGGCTGCTTTATGACTTTCAACGGTATTCTGAGCATCACTTTTAAATATGAAGAATACAATCCTTTTTTCTTATGAGCGCAGATGCCTTAGAAATGTTCAAGCCCTCATTAATCACTGACCTGGAGAAGCTTTCCTTAAACACAGGCGCCACAGCCTGGTTTTCACTGCTCAGCCAGCTTTAGAAACTCATGGTGCCCCTCCTTCCCCAGGGACGGGGGGGCACGGACGTGTGCAGATGAGCCGCAGGCCTTCATGGAGAAAGGGCTCTGCTTGCTGATTTACTCCTCCTGTGCTGGGCTCATGGTGCATTTCAGTTGTTTTTTCTTTTTTTAAGATTTTATTTATTTATTCAAGGAAGAGAGAGAGGGAGATGGCGAGAGAGAGCTCAGGTGGAGGGCAGGGAGAGGGAGAAGCAGACTCCCCCCCCTGAGCAGGGAGCCCGATGCAGGCTCAATCCCAGGACCCTGGGATCATGACCTGAGCTGAAGGCAGACGCTTAACCAACTGAGCCACCCAGGCACCCTGGTGCATTTCAGTTTTAAAGACTTTGTTTCAGTAAAGACGAATCCATACACCAGTGTCTAAGTACAGGATGCCTGGACAGTGGCACAGTGTATCTTTTGGGTCAAAGATGGCAATGTTGAAGCTGAATTTCTGCCCCCACTCTCCAAAGGAATATTTATGATGATCCCTCAATACACACCCTGGCTTGGGGCCTAAAGCAATTAGTTGCTAGGCTCAGAGTTGAGGTATGGGGTTTTCCTTTCCACAGCTTCAAATGCCTCCCCCCACAGAAGTGCTCAGGAGGGTCAAGGAGGTGCAGTCCCTTCCCCCAGCCATGTTGGGTTGGTTTTCCCTGGAGTCCTCACATCTGAGGCAGGCTGTCAAGGCATCCTAAAGCTCAAAAACCACCCACAAAACAGCACAACCTGATGGCACCACCAGGGACACACAAGACTAGACCGTAATGCATGTGACCACTGGTATGCTGGTAAATATTTAACGACTGGTTGTCTGGGGTGAATGTATGCATACATATGTGTACGTAAGCTTATTATAAACATGGCTGATACAAAGGATGTAGAGTACATGACTTATAAGTGAAACAATACATGTAATACTTTTTGTTATAAATCCATACACCTACAACTTCAGTACGATTTCCTATTTCTTATAAAATCCCATTTTTCCCAGTTTTATTGAGATATAATTTACATATAACCTATTATTTTTATAATTCTATCGCCAACAATAATTCCATAAAATCACACTATGAATAAATGTTTGTAAACATTTTTGTGATTATGTGATTTACAAATGAGTGTAGATCTGATAAATGATTGTTGATATTTTTGTTTGCTTAATTATTTTTTTTAAAGTAATCTTTACACCCAACATGGGGCTCTAACTCACAACCCCGAGATCAAGAGTTGAATGCTGTACCAACTGAGCCAGCCAGGTGCCCCTATTTTTGTTTATTTTAGTAAGACAAAAATGAAACAGCCAAGGACTATGTAGGAACTTCATTCATTCATCAAAGACATAGCAGCTTCCTTGCTGAATTGGATAATAGCTTTTAAATATTGGAAGACTGTATCCTTAATTTTTTATACCATTTATATATAATGGCAAAAAGATATAACACACTTTTAGGTTTAATCTGCTTTCTTAATTCTAGAGAATCTACAAAACAATAAATCAAGCCCATATTTGTAGCATTTGCTGATTTCTGTAGTGTAAATATTCTCATCACAGCTGACTTCAAAGTACCAACCTGTTGTCACTCAGTGCAGAGTTGGGAAGAATGCATAGTAGCACACTGTTAGTATTTTCCATCAAGTAAACATTATAGATGTAACCTCAGGCGTATCAATAACAGAAAAATAAGAAGTGATGAGTTTTGAGTTTTACTAGCTTGTTTTAAATATGTTACTTGAGTTTATATAATTTAATTTTTAATAATGGCTATATTTAGGGGCGCCTGGCTGGTTCCGTCAGTAAAGCATGTGACTCTTGATCACGGAATTGTGGGTTCAAGCCCCATGTTGGGTGTAGACATTGCTAAAAATAAACTCTTTTTTAAAAAAATAATGGCTCTGTTGAATAACCAGCTTACAAACTTCCTGAAAATCTAGCAGGCAGCTTTCCTGAGCCAGATGAAGTCTAGTCCAGCACACTGCTGGATGTGATCACAGAGGCACTACATAAAAAACAAGGAAGAGGAAAACCTCCTGTGTGTTCAGAATCAAAGTTGTCAATGAGCCTCCTTGTGGCTAAAAACAGATGCTTTGATTTTTCATTGCAAATGAAATCATAGGTTTGTTTGATTTAAGTGAAAAAAAAGACGCCTTGATTGTGGGCAGAGGAAAAGATTTGTCAGGTTCATGGCATGCCCACAACTCTCTCCCAAGACTCTTAACCAGGCTCCATACCCAGCGCAGAGCCCAATGCGGGGCTCGATCTCACTACCCTGAGATCATGACCTAAGCCGAAATCACGAGTCGGACGCTTAACCGACTGAGCCATCCAGATGCACCCCAATAAATCAATTTAAAGAGACATGGGGAAACAAAAATAAACATAGTATGGATTAAACCACAAACTGTGCTTGTTTAATGTGTGGTGTGTGAGTTACAAGTTGGAAAAACATCAAGTCAGTGTGCAAAGAACCAGTCTGATATCTGTGATTCTAAAAATATCTGTTTCTGATACAAAGAGAAGAGATATTCAATCCTTTTGTTGATAGCAAAAACTTCCTGCATTTGAGATTTCATTAGCTCTAAGTCACCAAACTTAGGTTCTAGTTTCTTTCTTGCTGGGGATGCCATTAGGCATAGTAGAAACGGACGCCAGCCCATTAGGGGTCCAGCTGCCATCCGGAATCCTCCCCACTCAATCCACCCTGTTTATCAGGATTTCCAGGGGAGATAAGGCTACCCAGCTGCCAGCAATAAACAATCCTTTTCAGAATACAACTATGCCAGACTCAACTGGAATGGGGAAAATAAAGCAGATATTTGGATAATTCAGTTTCAAGAAAGCTCTTTCCCTTGAAATTTCCATTTCAATTAAAAGTGATTTTTTTTTCCTTTTGGCCATGAATCATCCAGACAGTTTCTACAACTTATACATAGCAATTATTTTTTTTGTGGTTGAAGGAAAAATAGTTTGTTCAGTATCAGCCAATAACTGTTATTCGTGTCCTGCCATGAGATTCCCCGGGAGATCTTTCGTCTGTGACTCATGATCTGTGTTTGTTTATCCTTTGATGCAGAAACCCATTTTCCTGTGTAAACTCTGAAACAAAACCATCAGAGGCCAGCAAGTGCTTGCACGCGGGTACAAAAAAGTTTTCAGTGTCTTTTCATTATCCTATGATCTCCATGGAATTATCCACTAAAAACACCAATACCCACTAGGAGATATTATTATCAATATAAATATCTCAATATCGTTAAAAATAAGTGCCCAATTTGGCCACTGGCAGAAGGGTTTCATTAATATTATTTCTGATATGTTGTATACAAATATTGAATATGGGTAAAATCAATAAAAGAACAGAAAAAAATTGAATTTATCTAAAACCAGAGAACAATATATGGTCCTATGGTTTCTTTTAAGAAACAATATCATACGAGTTTTTATTTCCCATTTTTATATCGATTGAGACCATTGCTTCGTTAATATGCTTGAATCTGATAGAAGTTGGTAGAGACACTCCGGAGTTAAACATCAAACCCAGAGTACTACAATGACTATCATCCATAAGCTACTTATCTAAATCTTGACACTTGGCTTATTAATTATAAGGAGGCAGTTATATTGGAAGGAAGCAGAGCCTTTTTCTGTTCATCATTTTGCACTTGTATTTTGCAGCCTCTGAAAATTTGTATTTTGTCTTTTTGTTTCTAGGGTTACAGTGACTGCAATGTGCAACATGGACTTCAGCCGATTTCCCCTGGACACACAAACGTGCTCCCTTGAAATTGAAAGCTGTGAGTAGACTGTCCGGGACATCAGCACACAGATGGCGAGTAATTCCCAACACCGCTAACTCTCAGTAGCAGGAACAGCATGTGCTCCTTATTCATGGCTAGTGATTTTTTCAAGTGATTTCAAGTGATTTTTTCTTTTTTTTAGATTAAAGCCAAGTGCAGGGTAATTTTGAAAATTAGGAACAAATTTGAAACTAAAACCTCTGTTCCCATAATTGACCCTTTTAAATGCGCTATGGCAATGGTTTTCAACTTGGTTCTGCGGGAACTCGGGCAACTGCTGGGGAGGGGGGTAGAGGGCTCAGCAAACGTGGGTCTCCTTGTGCAGCTATTTCTACCTGCTATCCAATGTGTGAGCTCATTTTTGATCTGTTTTATTGTTCCTCTGAATAAGATTTCTGTTGAAGCAAAGATTTCTTGGCAAAAACAAGTTTGGTAACAATTGCCCGAGGGAACTGCCAAAGTGAGAACACAGGTGGTGCTTGAGAGCCTCAGGCACAACTGAGGGGCCTCAGGACACTTGCACACACGGATGCCCTGCACAGGTTAAGAGCCAGCCCCAGGAAGAGCAAGACTGAGGCAGCATCAAGGACTACTCACTTGCATCTCCAGCTCTCTACACAACTGCTCTCTTTCTCAATCTTTGCCCAAATGCTTCCTCTGGTGGGCACAGTCTGGACTCCCCCATAACTCCTGCTGGTCCATCCTCTGAGTGAATACCAGCACACACCCACTGGCCCTTCCTGGCTGGTGACCAGGCCCTAGTGAAGAATCTCTTTGACACAGTGCACCTTTGTAAGCCTGCCTGCATTTGTGGCAATGAGTCAGGGATCCCCTGGCCCCAGCCATCTGGGGCCGAGGAGGGCAGGGATGTTGACGCAAGGGTCAAATGGACAGCTCCATAGGGCACTGACTGTGGGAAAAGGGAGTAATAAATCCCAGGACCAACAGCATAGTAGCTTTCCACCTGCTGTCATTTCATCCTCACCAGATCCTGGAAGAAGGTTACTGTTATCCCCATTATACATGGAAGGATGTAACTTGCCTGAGGACATAGCACTAAGGACTTAACTCATTGGCTCCAGTACCCTACTTTCCCTCATACACCCAGGCAGCTTCATTGGGAATGAAGCGTCTTCCAGGTTGCATCAGGTAGGATGCACAGAGAAGCAGAATATTGGAGACACATAGTAAGAGATATTGAGTGCAAGGAATTGGCTTGCATGAGCGTGGCGGCTGGTGAGGTAAGTCTGCCATCTGCAGGGCGGGCTGGCGGGAAGGGCAGCTGGGAACCCCCAGGTGGGACCTGAGCCTGCCCTCCACGGGCAGAATTTCTTCTTCTTGGGGAAACCTCAGGTCTGTTCTTAAGGCTTTTCAACTGATTGGATCAGGCCTACCCACATTATCCTGGATCATCTCCTTTACTTCAAGTGAACTGGTTGTAGGCATCCCGTCCACAAAGCATCTTCAGAGCAACACCTAATTTAGTGTTTGATTGATTAACTGGGTACTCCAGCCTAGCCAAGTGGATACATGAAACCAACCATCACGCAGGTCAAGGTTAAGACATAGAATAAAACAGAGGCATGAAATAGGGCATCAGGGAGCTCCAGAAAGAACTGTTTAACACGTGAGCAGACTGGACTGGCCACTGTTAGGTTTTACCTCAGTTCTGTCCAGGCTGTAGGTAGGTTTGCTCAACTGTAGTCAACATGTGTGCTCACCTAAAGTAGGCGAGGGTCAGGATGTGGCAGTGCCAGAGGGCGTGGTCCTTCTGCGGGACTCACTGTGATTTTACCCTTGGTAGGAACAACCGGGAGCCTGCAGAGAAGGGACTTGTGGTCTGCGGCCATCACTTAATGGGTCCTTTCTCGCTTGAATGCAGCCCTTATTACCTTGCGAGTATTTAAAGATATTCGGCATCAATGGATGCATTACTACATTTTGGAAGGAGAAAAGAAAGGGCTAAATCAGCCTAGGCTTGTAAGGCAGTTTTGCCACAATTTCACCATTTCTGCTCTACAAGTATAGCAATTTCATTTGTGTTAACCTAATAAATGGCAGGCTGAATTGTGGGGTGAACGCTTTTGCAGGAATTAGGAGCATTTAGGCTTGAGAGCTTTGCTCTGATGACTTCTGGAAGACTGGGGAGAATTAAGTTGTCTTTTTTAAATGTTGTTTTGCTTTGTTTAGACTGTGGCTTGTTTATTCAAACTCTCTTACCACCATCCCAATAGTTCGTGTGGGAGATCTGGAGCTGCTCCCACGGAGCCCCACAGACAGGCCCATCTTCCCACCGCCGCATGCCTGTGCCTGACACTGTCTCCTGTCTTTTCAGATGCCTACACGGAGGACGATCTCATGCTGTACTGGAAAAAAGGCAACGACTCCTTAAAGACAGATGAACGGATCTCGCTCTCCCAGTTCCTCATTCAAGAATTCCACACCACCACTAAACTGGCTTTCTACAGCAGCACAGGTGGGGGTTAGCGTGGCTGGGTGGGTCATCCTCTGTCTTAGGGAAGGTGTGAATTGGTTGTCAAGCAGAGCTTGTGCCACCTGGATTTGAAGCCAAAGGTGGAAACCCTAAATCGGGTCTAGGGGGTGGCATGCACCGGGGGAGAGGTGATTTTTGCATACCACCAAAGCATCCGAAGTGATAAGCTAGAAAATATTAATAAGGACTCAAACAGAAGCTAGGTGAGGAGGTTTGTTTGAGCCAATCATTTTGCTAGTTTAGCAGCTAACATCTTACCCCCAGTAGGATTCCCAGAACCCCGTCCTCTGTAGGCAAGAAACAGTTCAGTTTTAGCTCTGTTGATTTCCATTCTCTCTGTTCTACTCAACTAACCTTTCCCTCTCTTTTTCTTTTTCCTGGAACAAATTCTCTCTTAACTACTGCTTGCACAGGCCCTCTTTATGATCTTGTGAGCTTCCGGGCTCAGGTGGGAATGGGCTTGCCACCCCTCCTTGCCTGGAGGCCTGCCCGCGCTCTTCCTTCTGGTAGCTGCGGTGACAGCTCTCTCCACCCCCTACCTCGGTCTTGACTAATCACCCTTCAGGGTGATACTATTCAAATCTTTATGTAGTTTCTTCCTTCCTTCCTTCCTTCCTTCCTTCCTTCCTTCCTTCCTTCCTTCCTTCTTTCTGTAGCTCCATGCCCAGCGTGGAGCCCAACGCAGGGCTTGAACTCACGGCGCTGAGATCAAGACATGAGCTGAGATCAAGACCTGAGCTGATATCAAGAGTCAGATGCTTGGCCAACTGAGCCACCCAGGCGCCCCTCTTTATGTGATTTCTATTGCCAAAACACTGCATGACTGCACAGGAAGTGCAACCTTTTAAGTCTTCTAATCTGTAGCAGAGGGTACTCTTTTACTCCCAGCATATCATGGCAATCCAGCATATCTCATCTTCTATACACATCACAGGAGTCTTGGTTTTCAGGGGACCCCCACTTCATCCTTAGCATTCTGATATTTCTTCTTGTCTTAGTCTGTTTGGGCTGCTGTCACAAAATACCATAGACCAGGTGGCTTCTAAACAACAGAAATTTACTTCTCACAGTCCTGGAGGCTGGGAAGTCCAAGATCAAGGTGCTGGCAGAGTCAGTGTCCGATGAGAGCCTGCTTCCTAGCTCATAGACAGCCACGTTCTCACTGTGTCCTCACATGGGGGAAGGCGCAAGGGAGCTATCTGGGGTCTCTTTTAGAGGGGCACTAATCCCACTCATGATGTAATCACTTCTGAAGGCCCCACCTCCAAATACCATCACATAGAGGATTAGGTTTCAGCATACAGATTTGGGGGCGGAACCATTCAGTCTATAGCATTTCCACAGTCTCTCTCCGTGACTGCTTTACAATGATAACCATTGCATTATAATTGTCCAGGATGCCAGGTTTTCAAGTTAGTGTTGCCAAGTCTCCATTTCATGTTCAGTCCTCGTCATGCCTGGTTTATCCTGCTTTTTCCTTTTCCTTCCATTTTCTCCTGTTCCTTTGAATGCCTCCATGCGTATTTCCTCCTTGTAGAGAACACAAGGGTAGAGCTAAAGCATAGCTGAATCTGTGATGGTTCGCTGTTCCTAAATGCAATGTTTGGGTTAGCTTGGTATTTTAACTTTAAATCACTGTCCTCCATAAAGAAATCTAAAGGGGCTTGTTTAAATAAATGTTTCTCAAACTTTATCATGCATATAAATCATGTGGAGAGTATTGTTAAAAAAGGAGATTATGATGCAGTAGATCTGGGTTGGGGCTGAGAGTCTGCATTTCCGACAAGCAGCCAAGTGATGGTGACATTGCTGGGCTCTGCCCCAAACGATGAGTAACGAGAGTCTTAAATAGACTTGTCAAGGGGCTTCCTTTACGTACAGGACAGGGGCCAAAGATGTCTTGAGAGGGACTCACCCATGTGGTGTAAGTTATCATATAATCACTCTATCCCATGGTTTTTCTCACTTCCACTCTGTAAAGGTATGGCAAGTTTCCAGTGAAGTGTCTAAGGCGCTTATGAGTCCCTGAATAGAATGGGTTGTGTGCAAGAGCTGAGTAGCTATGGTGTGTGTGATCTTTTCCTCCTGTGTCCCCCAGGCTGGTACAACCGTCTGTACATTAACTTCACGTTGCGACGCCACATCTTCTTTTTCTTGCTCCAAACTTACTTTCCTGCCACCTTAATGGTCATGCTGTCCTGGGTGTCCTTCTGGATCGACCGCAGAGCTGTGCCCGCCAGAGTCCCTTTGGGTAAGGAACATCTCAAGTGTGTCCTTCAGACACCTGAAAATACAAGTAATTTCTACCAGATGAAACCATTCATTTCAAATTGGTTCTAACCCCCTGTTGGCATGATAACTTGGAAACACCAGGTTATTGATTCACAGGTAAAATGCCATTATTAAGACCCTATGTGGCAAAACTGTTTCCAGGGCCCCACGAGTGCCCATGCAAACAACCTACCTTTAGTTTTGTTAGAACCATGTTCTGGGGTGGATGGTCCTGGTGTGTGGGTGCTTTTTCTGCCTACCTACATAGGGAAACCACGTTCTATAACAGGGTTTCTCTAAAGGAGGCCCAAGGGATCTTTGCAATGGAATCTCTGGGGGAAATTGTTAAAAATGGAAGAATCCTGTGTCTCACCTACATGTATAGAATCAGAATCAGAATCTCTGAGAAAGGACCGGAACCTACATTTTGAACAAGGTCTCCCAGTAATTCTTATACATACTCAGGTCTGACAATCCCTACTCCGTAAGCATTTGATGAATGGCTATTTGCCATCAACTCTCTCCCCTACCTTAATGTCACACCCACTCAGTCACATCACCATTGCTCAGATGGTTCCGAGGCTTCAAGAGGGAGGGTGACCCCCCCCAGGTTTTAGTGACACTGAGTTGGAGCTGGCCCTTAAGGTGGCCCCCGTCCCCTGTGATTTGGTATTTGCCAAGCAAATGTTCTGAGCTTAATTTGAAATCCCAGGCAAACACCCCTGACAAATGCCCTGTCCTTTAACAGTTGTTCTATAGCTTGAACAGTTACTGTGCTAAATAAACAAACATTCTAGTTTTAAAAATCTAACACCCCTAAATGAGGTTAACATCATTCTTGGTAAAATTGACACCTGCATCCTCAAGTCAACATTGCTGACTGGGCAGCCAGGTCCAGCATGGGGATGGTTGTCAGAATTGCTCTCACAGCTGATAATACAGGCCCAGGACTGCAAGATTCTACACCAGCAACAAGGACACAAGTACTGAAATATACCTGGTGCACTTTTTCCCCTTTTTGGAGAAGTAGTTACAAGAAACACATATATACCTGCTCATATATATAATCTCTGTTTTTTATTTATTTATTTATTATTTTTTAAGATTTTATTTTTTAAAGTAATTTCTATGTAGGGGGTTGAACTCACAACCCCGAGATCGAGAGTCGCATGCTTTACTGACTGAGCCAGCCAGGTGCCCCTATAAATCTCTATTTTAACCAATTGAATGGAAATAAATATCTTGCCGCCAAAAATATCTAGAGTGGGCTCTCTACAGAAGGACAAGGTGAGACAGGTGTCACGAGTATGTGGAGGGGGGGAATGGGTAAGTATGAGAGGTGGAGGAACAGAAGAAGCTTCATAAAAGCTAAATGTTTAGGGGTGCCTGGGTGGCTCAGTCGGTTAAAGTGTCTGCCTTCAGCTCAGGTCGTGATCTCAGGGTCCTGGGATCCAGCCCACTGACAAGCTCTCTGCTCAGCGGGGAGTCTGCTTCTCCCTCTCCTTCGGTTCTCTCTCTCTCTCTCTTGCTCTCGCTCTCTCAAATAAATAAATAAATCTTTAAAAAAAAAAAAGCTAAATCTTGAAAGATGATTTGGTGTTTGCTAGACAGAGGGGCAGAGATGGAGATTTCTAGGCGGAAGGAGCAGAAGGGACAAAGAACAGAGGTGTGAAGCCCCCCCGCCCAGGGGTTCGGTGAAAGGCAAACGCCTGCTTATTTCTCACTCTGTTTGCAGGTATCACTACCGTGCTGACCATGTCCACCATCATCACGGGCGTGAACGCCTCCATGCCCCGCGTCTCCTACATCAAGGCGGTGGACATCTACCTCTGGGTCAGCTTCGTGTTCGTGTTCCTGTCGGTGCTGGAGTACGCAGCCGTCAACTACCTGACCACCGTGCAGGAGCGCAAGGAGCGGAAGCTGCGCGAGAAGGTGACCTTACCACAAGTGAGGTGTCTGCTCAGGGATAGAGCCTGGTCCGGCTCAGGACCGTGGGCAGGTCAAACCTTCTCTGTAAATTGGGGTGGTGACACGCCCTCCTCCACCTACTTCACCAGTTGGTGTGAAAAGCAAACAAAATAATACGTTAAAACAGTGGGAAATTTACCCTGGGCTACATCTTTCAGTCATTCAAATATTTATTTAGCACCTACCACATACCAGCAGCTAAGCCAAGTTAATTAAGACAAAGTCCCTTTAATCGTGGTGGTGTTCATTGTTTAGTGCTAAAAATAGATGACAGTTCAACATGGTGAAACAATTATTTGTGAGCCCAGAGGTGTAATTAAAACAAACAAACAAACAAACAAACAAACAAATAAACAAAACTTCCAGGGAAGCACATTCTCCATTCTAGGAACTTTCCTTTCATATGTGACCCCCGGGATCATCTTCCCTCCCACCCGGCTTTTCTTTCTTCCTCCTGTCTGCAGTCAAATGGTGCTCGCTTTGGCAGCACATATACTGTCTGCAGTCAAATAGTTATTTCCTCCAGAAAACTAGAACTAAGTAGGAGTAAACTATCTCCACAATGCTACACCTTTCAATCCCCACCCGATCACACTACACACACGTAATGTTATCTGAAAACAGTCTTATCAGGGCTCCTATCAGTTTATGACCTCAGGGAGAACAGGACAATTATCTGATCATGAACCTTCAGGGGTTGGTCTCTGAGACGACGTGATGCTCCCTCGGAGTTGCTCCTTAGACTTGGAACAAAACAGGACACCTGCTCTTTTAGCATGTTTGCAGTGCCAACACCGTTATTTTCCCATGACCCGCCCCTAACTGGGAATAAAAGAAACTAGAAAAGGCAACCCCCGACCGGCATGTGGTTTCTTCTGAGAGCTGGAGCTAAGCTCGCATCCCAGTGTGTGTTTGCTGTGTTCTCAGCTTCCTTGCACCTGTGGAATACCCCAGCCACGCGGGGTCATGCTGGATGGCAGCTACAGCGACGGGGAGGTTAATGACCTGGGCAACTACGTACCGGAGAATGGAGAGAAGCCAGACAAGATGATGGTGCAGCTGACCTTGGCCTCGGAGAGGAGCTCCCCCCAGAGGAAAAGCCAGAGGAGCAGCTATGTGAGCATGAGGATCGACACCCATGCCATTGATAAATACTCCAGGATAATTTTTCCAGCGGCATATATTTTATTCAATTTAATATACTGGTCTATTTTCTCATAAATGTCTGTTAACTCTATAAATTTCACATTCTTCTGTATGTACCACAGAAATACCTGTATGATAAAAGTAATTTAAGGTTATGACGCAATTAAAGTTCCCACTACCCACCCTTCACCAGCTTTCTAAAACTACATGGACAAGTCACCCCCTGGTTTAATTTGCACTTGGTAACCACCTATTGTATCCACAGCATTATACTCGGTGCTGCCAGGAATAGGACACCTGTAGCAACTGGTGATACTTGTTACCAGGATCCCCTGGAAGAGCACACCGCCTGCGTGGTGGACACCCTGTAGCTCAACCTCTTTTAGACCCTAGGTGCTTATTCACATGAATGATGCCCTCCATGTGCATGTCATTATATTCTCCAGACTAGATGGAATTGGGAAGCACCTAAAACTCGCATGGAACGTACATGCACCTAAATCCCCACTTTGACCAAAATTAATGTTTCACTTCACAGTCTATTCCCTATTTTTCAATGTGTCTCCTCATGTTTATTTTAATACAAGGCAATAATAATTTTCTTATTTTTATTTACGTCTTATGGTTCATGAGGTTTCACTTCTTCAGAAGCAAAGCTCTTTAGATTGGTGCAATGGCTTCTGATTTGGGGTGGAGGGGGCAGTTTCCCTGGTAGGGAATCTATGAAGAAGAGGGTCTGCATTCTGTCAGTTCTGTCATAGAGATAACTAGCCTAGAAAACTTGTGTTTCAGTGTTTCCTGTTTCATAATCACTGTTTCATGTAGCTCTGCCATGGAGCATGTCCTAGTTCAAAGTGAAGTCCTTTCTCATGTAGTGTGATACCTTCACTGAGGAACTTGGAAATAGTTTTCTGCACAGACATTTCAAGAAAATGCATCATTTGGGACTACTACCTGTTACCCATTAGGATGAGAAATACTCACATGGTTTCTGAAGAATAAAAGAACACCGGAAAGAAGAAGAAATGGAAAGACATCACTGAACATCTCCAGTTATACTTAGTAAATGCCACCATTTTCTGTGAACCAGAAAACAATGGCCACCTCTCACCAGGGCATGGGATAAGAGAAAGGGTTCTAATTTGATGTATTATTTAAAAATATAAATAAGTTATTCATACTATATATCTACAGGATCAACCCCCACCAAACTTATCCAAATAGCATTTGTTTGAAACTCACTTTAATAAAGTGAATTCTATACACAATGATGTCATTTTCTTTCCACAGTTAATTGAACTTCATATGAGAACCATACTTCATTCTAATATGAAAATAAAGCCATATTTGCCCAAATCCTAATTGCAAGGTAGTCTCCCATTTCTCCCAATAAAAACTCATGAAAACAAAGTTTTTTGGCAAACTCAAGAAGATACGTAAAGGGATATAGATGAAATAAACATTAGCTTTTGATATTTAAAGACATTTTTAAACATTACTTTTTTCATGCTTATTTTAGGAAACAATTTCAGTCAAACTCTTCACAAACTTCCTTGCCACTCACTTCTTCCTCATGACCAGAGCCACTCTGAGTCATATAACAAGGTTTCCAGGGCACATCATCTGAATTTCCATCTACTTTGTTTGGAAAACTCATATAGGATGCTGCATTAGTCTGCTCAGGCTGCCATAGCAGGTGCCTTAAACAACACAAATGTATTTTCTCTTAGTTCTGGAGGCTGAAGTCCAAGATCAAGGTGTTGGCAGGTTGGTTTCTCCTGAGGTCTCCCTCTTTGACTTGCAGATGCCCACCTTCTTGCTATGTCCTCGCATGGCCTTTTTCTCTGAGCATCCCTGGTGTCTCTTTCTTTTCTATAAGGACGCTAGACATACTGGATTAGAGCTCCACCCTTATGATCTCATTTACCTTAATTGCCTCTTTAAAAGCCCTATCTCCAAATAAGTGACAGTGGGAGTGAAGACTTCAACATATAAATTGGGGACAGCGTGGGGCAAAATCCAGTCCAGAACAGATGTCCATGGGAATTATTCATTTGCATAATAGTACATCTTATAGGTGTTTACTCTTGATCTTTATAACGTAATCACACACAGTATTGTTTTTTAAAGTTTATAGTGATATCCACACTGGTAGTTAGGAAGAAAAAGCGATTAAATTCATGCTAAATTTCTTTGCTGTCTTAAAGCAATTCTCTCAGGTGACCTCTTCAAGCATTTCAATGCTAATGTTTTCTCTAGGCTGTACTTTGCTGTCAAAGCTATGTGTTTGAGAGAACTCTAATACGACTTTGTAAAGACCCAAATATAAAGTAACTATTTCTGAGGGATAATTTTGGAGAGAACCTCACCATGTATGTGGGCATCTACAGTACTTAATAAATTTTTGCTGGCGTGACTGGAGAACAGGAAGATGTGGGGTTAATAATATTATCTGGTTAAGAGGCAGGTACCATCATACACCCATATTGACTAATTTTTCAAGAGTCAAAATACTGGGGGCCCCTGGGTGGCTAGGATGGTTAAGCATCTGCCTTCGGCTCAGGTCATGATCCCAGGGTCCTGGGATGGAGCCCCACATCGGGCTCCCTGCTCAGTGGGGAGTCTGCTTCTCCCTCTCCCTCTGCCTGCCCTCCCCTTGCTTGTGCTCACTCTCTGTCAAATAAATAAAAAAATCTAAAAAAAAGAAAAAGTCAAAATACTATAAAATACAGTTGATTTGAACTCTATAAACATAGTTTATTCTCTGGTAGTTCAGAGGGTAGTTCAAGATTTTGAGGGTTTATCATCATTGTTGTGCTATAATGTGGACATCATAAAGATGTTAAAAGTGTTAGCCAGGAAGGAACTGGGGTCAGTCAGACCAGCTTTTACTTAATGGCAATATTCTCTTTCTGTGTCATATATCCCTAACCAATATTCATTAGTTTTTTCATAATTCATATTTTTTAAATGATTTTTTTTTTTAGATTTTATTGATTTGACAGCAAGAGAGAGAGCACAAGCAGGGGGAGTGGTAGAGGGAGAGGGAGAAGCAGGCTCCCCGCTGAGCAGGGAGCCCGATGTGGGGCTCGATCCCAGGACCCTGAGATCATGACCTGAGCTGAAGGCACATGCTTAACGACTGAGCCACCCAGGGGCCCTCATAATTCATAATTTAGAGAAGAGTGGTGATGCTAGATATTAGGAAGAATAAAAAATGGCTTGTTAGTAACAATGAAACCTCACATTTGTAAAACCCAGTTATAATCAAGTACTTTTTTTTTTTTTTAAGTAGGGTGGAGCCCAGTGCAGGGCTTGAACTCACAATCCTGAGATCAAGACCTGAACTGAAATCAAGAGTTGGATGCTTAACCTACTGAGACACCCAGGTGCCCCAGAAACAAGTACTTTTTTTTTTTTAAGATTTTATTTATTTATTTGTCAGAGACAGAGAGGGAGAGAGCGAAAGTGCACAAGCAGGGGGAGCGGCAGGCAGAGGGAGAAGCAGGCTCCCCGCTGAGCAGGGAGCCCGATGCGGGACTCCATCCCCTGGGATCATGACCTGAGCCGAAGGCAGACGCTTAACCATCTGAGCCACCCAGGCGCCCCACAAACAAGTACTTTTGATGTGGCACTTTGGGGTCTGGGAGCAAATGGTCAAGAAGGAATTCTTGAAATGTCTTTGGTGCAAAAAAAGGTGTATGTGTGCTTTAAGACTGCAAAAAAAGGTGGGTTTATTAAATGGACAGGACCCGTGGGCAGAAAGCTGCACTGGGCTTGTGAGGAGTGACTGATTACATACTTTCAAGTGGGGAGGAGGTTAGGGATAGCATTAAGTTTCTAAAGAATTTGGAAGCAAGGTTTCCAGGACCTTGGGGGCCAGCTGTTGTTCGGATAAGGTCATTTACTTCTGTCTGGTAAACCCTTAAGTCAGGAGACCCTTCAAATGTGTATCAGTGGGCCATCCATTTGGATGGTTGCTAACATATCTTGGAGAGGTAGAGATAAAGTAAGTTTCCAAAGGGATTTTCATATGTTAAAGAAGACTTACAGGATCCTGGAGGTAGGGCTAATGTCAAGCTAAAGTTGCCTTTTGCCTCTAGCAGAGTACTAATACTGAAGCAGTTGAGTTCTTGGAGGAAGGAAGGTCACTCTGCCTGTCCTAAGTACTTGTCAATGGGCTGGAAGTTGTAAGGAAGTTTAATTTTTTCTACATTTCTTTTGCCTTTGTTCTCCACATCACTTTCACATAGTGTATTTGTATTAAAGATTCCTAAGTTTCAAGTACAAAAAACTTTCATTTTGTGGTAACTCACTAAAGAACTCATACGAAGAGACATAAACTAAGAAGTCAGTGAAGGGGGGCACCTGGGTGGCTCAGTCGGTTAAGCGTCTGCCTTCGGCTCAGGTCGTGATCTTCTATCCTGGGATAGAGCCCCACATTGGGCTCCCTGCTCAGCAGGGAGCCTGCTTCTCCCTCTCCCTATGCCCCTCTCCCGGCTTGTGCTTGCTCTCTCTCTCTCATATAAATAAATAAAATCTTTTAAAAAAAAGTTGGTGAAAGAAAAGAATAAGATGAACTCTTGATGAAAATTTAATATCTAATTAGCAGGGAAAAAAACAACACTTCCATTTTAAGGCCAAATGATAGTTGAACACAACCCTAATGACTGCAAGATAAAATTCAAACTCTTTTTGGTCTATACAGCATTCCACAGTTTGATTTGTCTGATGAATGTGACAGCACCTTTGGCATTTTGTAACTTGAACCCTCCTATACCTATCTGATTCTCCAATATATAAAAGCCCTTTTAACTTTTTATAGCTCTCATCTATTCTGAAAACTGAAAATAAGACAGGGAAACACAATGTATAAAGAAATGCAAAAAGTAAATACTCCCCAAATCCCCACCATTTCCTTGGCTTAAAAACTGGGAGCAGCAGAGAGGGAGAGGGAGAAGCAGGCTCCCTGCTGAGCAAGGAACCCGATGCGGGACTCGATCCCAGGACTCTGGGATCGTGACCTGAGTTGAAAGCAGATGCTTAACCAACTGAGCCACCCAGGTGTCCCTTGACATTTCTAAGAGTAGTATTAACACTGGAGAAAACTGACTGGAGCAAGAAAAAAGGTTCTGGCAGCAAATATTAAATATAATCTTAATGTTTGGGGCTTGCAACATAGAATCTAGATGAATGTAATTCTAAAACATTGTCCCTAAAAATGATGGACTCCAAGGAAATGAAAATTCTTGTAGGCTGAGAGGTCAATAGAATTATTTGATAAGGATTAAATAAAGAGGCACGGAAGTTGCTTTAGGAAATTTTCCTAGTCACGATAGCAAGGTTTCTTCTATGCAAAGGCCAAGTTTTAAATCTCATTCAGGCATGTTTTAACAGGATTCCACTTGTAATTTTCCAGTAGGTTTCTTCCTCTTAGATCTTCTATTGGAAAGCAATCAACTTTAGTATTGCCCAATTTAATGATATGCCTAGAAAAATCAC